ACCCGCAAAAACCGTCCGCACTTTAATTATTATTATTATTTTTTTTTTTATATACCAACTTTGTAACTTTTACAGGAGCACCATTATATTCTCTATGACACTAGGATCCTTATTTTTAAGTATTTCTCAACTTTCTTAATGTCGTAGAATTATCAAGTCCTAAACTTGGTTTCTTATATGATTTTCATTGGTGATTCATCCACTTTTTCCTAATAAAATTTTCCTTCTAATGGTCGATGGAACTTATAGTTTGATTAGTGATTACTGAACTGGCACTAATTGAGTACAACCTTTAATGCATTGGTACACATTTTTTTCATGGCAAAAATGTTAGTGTAGGGTCTCTTTGTTTTGGGTACTTTCATTTAATGCATTGATATTCAATTTTTATTTGTAAACTCATCAAAAAATTGTTATCACAAATATATAAAATGAATATGATGCCTAAATTCACTGGGAAAAAAAACTCGAAAATTAATTTTTAAAGAAAAAAATGTAAACCGCAAACCGCCCGCAACCGCCCGCACATTTGCAAACCCTATCCGCACAAACCGCAAACCGCACTGCGGGCGGTTGCGGGTTGACTTTTTCCCAAACCGCATAAATGCGAACGGGTCAAAATCGAACTGCAAACCGCACAAAATCGATCCGCGAACACCCCTAATACTCAACTTAGGATCCAATATTACTTTAAAACTATTGTTCAATAGGACAAACATATATAACAACCAACAAAGAGAGACAAACATCAATAAATAAATAAAAACATATGCAAGAAAAGTTGATAAAAAGTTAATTTTTTGATTTTTTAATATTTTTAGTGATTTTTTTAACAAAAAAAATTAATTTTTTTAATGATTTTTTTAAAAAAAATTGATAAAATTGACTATTACCGAGTTTTGAAATTGCTCTGCAGTCAACAATCCTACAAAATCTACTTATTTTGACTATTTGATCAGAGGGGCACGGACAGACACTGCTAAAATGGGAAATGAAGAACACAACACGTGTTTTGTTTTTGAAGCGTGTGGGACATTGTCATATCGTCAAATATCTACCTTATTGGAAAGTTAGATCTCAATGCTTCACAACTTTCCCCACCTAAACTTAGGTTCATTTGAGAACCTTCATTTTTAATTAAAAAGTTATTAAATTAGTCAAAAAGTCAATAATTCATACTAAAAAGTTAAAAATTTTCTTTTTTCTCTATTTTTTACACATCTTTTCATAAAAATTCAAAAAATCATCCTCAGCATATTAATTTTTTTTAACTCATATTTTAACCAAATAATTAAAAAATTATTAAATTAACCTATTGACAAACGAGGCCTTAGGCCATGTTTGTTTGGTGGATATGAGCTTGGGATTGGACTAATAGTCCAATAAAATTATTAATCCAATGTTTGGTTAAACAATTAAAGTACGGACTAATTATTTTAAACTTGACTATTAGTTAAGATGGGATATATAATCCAATGAATTCGTAATCCTAGAACTATTAGTCATGAGAATGCTAATCCAATTTGTCCAAACAAAGATGACGTTAATGTGCTAAAAATGCAGTAGCAGCATTACTGTATATGTTTGTTGATTTTCCAAAAAAGTATGACTGGTGGACCAAATCTTTATTTTACATCACATCCATGCTTCAATTGCTGGTAATAAACCATCTAAAAAAGTTCAAATATAGAGCAAACACTATGCCTCCTGATTTTTTAATTTTTTAATTTTTTTAATTTAGGTTAAAAAATTTGATTTGTTAAGAATTTTTTGATTTTTTTAACTTTTTTTGTGAGAGAAGAGTGTAATGATTATAGATTTGATGGATGTTTTATTTGTTGTGGCTAAAATAGCCTATTTTATCTTTTGTGGCTAAAATAGCCACAAATCTCCTTGCCAAACGGAGCTTATAATGTTTGCAATGGCTACTCCATATTGTCAAATTATTTAGGCTTCGTATAGAGAGTGGGTTCGTTTTTTGGATTTTTAATTTTTTTGGCTATTTTAGCCTAGACTAAAAAACTTAGTTTGGGAAGGATTTTTTGATTTTTTTGACTTTTTGTGAAAAAATAGTGTAATGATTATGAGTTGAATGTGATGTTTTATTTTTTATGGCTAAAATAGCCTATTTTATTTTTTATGGCTAAAATAGCCAAAAAAACCTAAAAACTAACTTGCCAAACGGAGCCTAGTAGTTTTAAAATATTATGTAAAGGTGAGAAATGATACAGTTCCGATTGAGAGCCCGAATCGAGCTCCCCCGAAATGACGAAACGACGTCGTTTCGTCGTTTTAATTTTTTTTTTTTTTCAATCAGAAAATCAGAAGAAGCAGAAAGAAAGAAGAAGAGAAGAAGAAAGAAGAAGAAAGAGAGGGGAGGCAGAGGAGAGAGGAAGAGGGGAGGGGAGGGGGCCAACAAACTAGGGCTGGAGGCGGAGGCGAAGGCAGAGGCAGAGCTGCTGCGAGGCGAGGCAACGGCGGGCGACGATCCCCTCTCTCTCTCTCCCTCTTCTCTCTCTTCTCTCTTTCTCCCTCTTCTCTCTCTTCTCTCTTTCTCCCTCTCTCTCTCTTTCTCTCTGATTCGGGGCATTCGAGGGGGCTCATTCGGGGAGAAAAACATTTCTCGAAATGATATTTGCTTCATTTATATTGCGAATTTGATCGGAAGTATCTCCTAAACAACGTGACATGATATTCTCTTAATAATTTTCCCTCAAGAGGTGAAAGGGTGTTGCTACAAAGAAGATTTAAATTAAACCAAAATTGCAAGATATGAGTATGTTTGGTATAATTTATTAAAAATTAAAAATTGATATAATTAAAAAGTAAAATCTTGTCTTAACTTTTATATAATCAACTATTTCAACTTAATTAACCTGCTTTGCCTAAATTAAAAGCATAAACTCTGCCGAATAATTTAACACAAACTCTCACAATATATACATATACGTGCAGATTTTAATTCTATCTATTACATGTCTGTATAGAGAATCTCTATTACATATCTAATCATTATTAAATAAGAATACAAATTTTATTTTATGTTAAATTAAAAAAAAAAAAACATTAAAACAAGCAACTTATATAATTTACAACAAACAGTTGAATTAGTTTCATAATTCATATCATGTTAAACAAAAAGGGATATTGATAACTCACCTATTACATGATTATTTTGAAAAACTAATTAAAAGTTATTTTTTTAATTTTTTTAAAAATCATGTAAAAAAATAAAGATGTAATGCGACTTAAAAGATATAAAAATAAAAAAAATAGACTTTTAAACTCTTTCCAAAAGAGCCTAAAGTCACCATGTAAGAAGACTTGCGCTAAAATCCAATTATAGATTACAATCTTTTCATTAAAGCTGTATTTGGTACAAAATATTGCTATTTTAAAAGAAAAAGAAAAAATAATAGTAAAATATGAATAAAATATATTTATATTTTATTTAATTTTATACATATTTTTTTTTTCTCTTTCCAACTTTTTTTCTAAATTCTTAAACCTAGCACAACTTAAGATATTTTTTTTTAAAATTAAAAATATGAAAAAGAGAACTTAAAACCACTTCAATATTTTTGTTTTTCAATTACAAAAACGGCTAAGACAGGACTTAAATACAATTATACATTATTAATTTTAAATTTTGGACTAGACTGTGCTGTTGTGCCTGTGGGGGTCCATCACGGGTTCCGTTTTGAAAATCTGAACCGTTGAATATGTAGAACTCGTCGAGTACTATATCATTATTAATTTTAAATTTTGGGCCTAGCTTTGGTCCAGTCCACCATCGGACTGGACCGTGCTGTTGGGCCCGTGGGAGTCCACCACGGATCCCGTTTTGAAAATCTGAACCGTTCAATGTGTAGAACTCGTCGAGTACTATATGCCCCTGAAAAATCACATTGATCGAATATCGATAGTTATGTGATCAAAATAATTTTTTATCAACCGTTAATTAATTCACCGTTCATTTTTTTTTATACAAAACTGATTTGATCACATAGCTATCGATATCCGATCAACGTGATTTTTCACAGACATATAGTACTCGACAAGTTCTACATATTGAATGATTCAGATTTTCAAAACGGGACCCATAATGGACCCCCACAAACCTAACAACACGATTTGATTCGATGACAGACTGGAGCAAAGTCAGACCCTAAATTTTAACAGCATGTTGCCATGCGTTGAAATTGAGATATCCATTACATGGTGCCATTTTGAAAACATAGCAAAAAGTCACGTTTTTGGACAAAATGTCCAAAAACACAAGTGTCAAAAAGCCAGAAAATTGGTTTGGCAAGCACTAAAAACGCAAGTGTAAAATTACAAATTAGGGCATATGAAAAAATAAATAAATAAATAAATTTCTTATGTTAGGTAAGAATATTTTGATCATTTTAATTTGATTTGACATCATAAATAAATATTAAACTAAAAAACAAAAAGTCAATTTTTTATCAACTTCCCAAATCACTTTTTAGAAAGCTAAAAAACTTAGTAAAAAATTAAAAATTAACTTTTTACTAATTTTTTAAAACACCCCATGATTATAATGAAGAGGATTTGAATCCCCATAAACACATAAATCAAATAGAAAATTAGACATAAAAAATATATGGATCAGCATTACTTTATTACATATGTTGGGAGTCCATTTTTTTAAGAAAAAAGACTATTCGTTAATATATATATATATATATTTTACTAGATATATTTCTCTCTATATTAGAAACAAAGGGCTACAAACCAAATTATGAATAGTTTGACAATAAGTTATTTTAATAATTTTTTAATTTTTTATAAAAATATATATAAAAAATTTAGAGAAAAGAAAAATTTTCATTTTTTTATATATAATTTGTTAAAATTTTGACTTTTTAAATATTTTTTTTTTAACTTATAAATTAAAATGGAATAAAGCACACAGTTTAAATAGTGACATATATATTGTTTAGCCCAAAAGTAAAAGTTAACTACCCCAGTTGAAATTGAAATTTTAAGAGATTTACTCAAATTATATTTATAATAATCTTTTTTTAAAAAAAAAAAACTCTTATTGCCGTCCAAACCAATAATCGTCCTCTGACTGCTAAAAGAGTGTGAGGAAAAAAAATTACATTATTATGATCATACTAATCTAAAAACCAAGCACAAAACTTGCTACAAAACAGATCACAAAAAACACGAAGTTCCTGTTTCCGATCATCGAGATCGCTCCGTTGTCAGCACTGCCCGATCCTCCCGGAGTCGTCGTTCCACTCGTCGGACTCGGCGCCGGAGACTCAGTGCTACTCGTAGTCCCAGCCGGAGTCGTACCGTTACTTTGTGAAGTTGCCTTCACCAAATCCAAAGTCGCCTTAGCGTTCAGATTCGCCGGCCGAAACTCGTGCTTGTCCGGAAAACCGTTGGTAACCGAGCCGCCGACCTGCCAAATCTGATTCATCGACGAGCTATTCGCCGGCAATGTGAGAGTCGCGAAGATCTTCATCGTTCCGTTGGAGTACTCGGCGCTCTTATCGGGGACTTCGAAGGCGATCTTCGATTGGACGATGGAGCTGTAGGAGCTGATATTGTAGGTGTTGACTGACATCGAGCCGTTGGATTGCTTGAAGGCGACGAGAGCCTGTGCGCCGGCCATGCCGGCTCCGGTGGGGTTGAGGGCCCAGGCGATCCAACCGTCCGGTTTGGCCGGAGGAGCGATGAAGGCGATGGAGAGGGAGGAGTTGGTTGGGTTGTAGGTCCAGTGGAGGTAGGCCCTTAAGGAAGGTAGGTCTGTGCAGTTAGTGTAGAGCTTGCTGTTTGTGAAGTTTTGTGAGGTACATGTGAGTGACTGTGAGGGTGAGATTAGCATAAACATGACTGAGAAGCCTAGAACCAGAGCCGGAAGTTGAAGACCTGCCATTTTAGAGAGAGACAGAGAAGAGAAGCTAAAGATTAGCAGGGGAGGAAGTGTGGCGTGGGGGAGTTCCTCTAATTTTGGGGAATTTTATAGAAGGGAAGTGGAGAGTAGTGGAGTTGGAGAGACGGATAGAGTGTGGCATTTTGGGAATTGACGGAGTTATAAGTAGCCAATTGTGGAACGACGCGTCAGAAAGTGAAATGAGGCTAATGACGTGGCGCTATAAGATTGGGTTAAGCAGTTCCTTATGGTTTGACCAAAGTTTTTATATGCTAACTAAAAGGTGGATAAATTACAAATAAACCTTAGTAAGTTTGTTTAAAATATAATTTGTGTTATGTAATTTTAAAAATTATATTTTAGTTTTTGAAATTTTTAATTTTATACTCATTTTATTAATAAATTATTAATTAAATTAATAATTTTTAATAATATTATAAATTTATTTTAATTAATAATTTAAATAATTTTATTATTATATATAAGATTAGTTATAAATTTTATTTTTTTTATTAATTATATTAAATATAAAATTCGAATAACGGAGTATTTATAACTTTTTCAACAACACAAGGCAATTCAATTTGAGCTTTGTGAATGCTTTGAACGGGGGCAGAAGAAGAGTAGAAAGTCGCAGGTCACTCATACAATGTGAATTAAAGAAATTGTCAAGCGTGTGGGACAAATGCGTGTTCTTAGTTGTTGCTTCATGTACTGTTTTTGGCTGATTATTTTCTTTTTTCCATTGTTTTTTTTCACAAAATTCTATACAAAAATACAAAATCACAATACAAACGTAACATTAGGGAAAATGAACAGTTATGAAATCATTCACGTTCGGAGTACAAGTCATAATTGGTTGAATTTTTTTGGATTTCTAATAGTTTAATGTGGTTGAGTCTTGATTATTTAAACAAAAAAAATTATAATAAGACTCTTTTTTTTAAAAATGTTAGACTTCTCTCAAATTTTGACCGGAGGTAACGATAAACGATTTTTATGATCAGTGCTATGGGATTAAACCGTGCCATCCAATACTGCTTTGGGATAGGAAGGCAGGTATCCAACCCTTTTGAGAAAATTAATTATGCAAAAGCTCAAACCGATTGAACAACTATTTTTCATAATTATACTGGTTATTCATTTTATTTTAATAAAGAAATAATGATTCGATAATGTAACTATAGCTGTCTGATTAACTTTATTTTGTTGCATGAATAGTCTTGTTAAAAGAGTCATATAAGATGAATTAAGGATTGACACACGTGATGTGTGTACCATTAAAATAATTAAAAATAAAACTAAACTTTTATTATATATGATATATTATGTAAAAGCTAAAAGTCTTATTTATTAATTTAAAGGTTTAAAGTTCAAGTCATACTCTAATTAATTATCTATTTTTATTATTATTATTATATTTCAAGTAATAAAATAAAAATTAAAAAAGGACATGTAAGGAGAAGTTGCCAAAATTTGAACATAATCTGAGTTGCTACTTTTAATAATAACTAGACAAAAATTTAAAGGTACAGACATACTTTAGTCCCGATACAAAAATAAAAATAAAATAAAGATCACTTAAAACGTTAGTTTTTTAGTTTAAAATATTATTGTATTGTTGGTTTTGTCATAAGATCCGCTGTAGCTCAATTTACAAATTGAGATTATTCCAGGTTCGAATCCTGGCAGCGGAAAGTAATGCTTTTTTGTTATGTTGACGTTGCAGTACGATTTTCTTGTTGTGTTGGACAATTATTTCTTTTTATATTTTTGGAAAATTGTACTCTTAAATGTTTAAAATATAAAATTTTTATCAATTTTCAATAAAAAAAAAATTTACATCAATTTAATATTTATAGTTTAATTATATCAATTTTTATTTCTTTATTTTTTATTTTTTTTTTAGTGGTTGAACACACATCATGTGTGTACAAGTCGAAAAAAAAAATTATGAAAAAACAAAAGTTAAAAAAAAAAATTTACATGTAAAAATATAATGTTGTTTGGATCTATTTTCAAATAAAAATTATGATACACAAAAGGTGTCAATACCAACTTAATTGATGAGGTTGCAACTTGGCAATTCCAAAATTGCTCCCGACGGTTTTTTTGGAAGTTGAAATTTTGTGACATTCACAACAAGTTTAGTGTACGGGGAAGAAATAATTCTCCTCGTATAATCCTGTTAACTAAGTCCATGCTCCTCCGTACGACGTCGCTTTGTCACCTGAAAACACAAACGTGAGCTAGCCGGCGGGTGTGTGCCGGAAACCTCTCCGATGCCTAAGTCAGATAACTTGACAAATAGACAAAGCTCAATGTATTCAGGAAGCAAAATTGTATGTGGGGTTATGTTACCTCCTTCCAAGGTGATGCTTGTGAGCTTTTATAGGTTTCGAGTGGCCCAATCCTAGTAGGACTTTTATTTCTCCATGCAGAGTCCTCCTAGGATTCATACTCCTAATGGATAATGCTTATCCTTTTACACCCCCCCCACTGCTTAAACCAAGTGGGATGGTTTTCACCATGGCCGAACTACCATTCGACCGAGATAAACCTGGCTATGCTGAGCCACAAAGTAAGCCAAACTATCCTTAGTTCGGCCCTTCCGCTTATATTTCCTTATCTCGGCTCTCACCTGTTCAACTCATGGTGTGCTTGGACCGAACCAACGACTCTTCGACCGGTATAACTCCAAAACCGATATACCTCTAAAGCCGGTATAAATTCAAGAACGATGTTCCTTCAAGACCGGTCTAACTTCAAGTTGCCTCCGGACCGAAGTAGCTTAACAATTCACGAGCCGAAGTAACTTCATCTCTTTTGGCCTGAGTAACTTTTCGGCCCTTCTTACTCAGTCCGTCATACTTTGGGCCATAAAGTCTGTCTCATAGCTCGGCCCAATTTTCACTCAAAATTACCCTCTCATTTAGCTTCCGTTTTATAATAGTATTAGTGATTGGTATACACAATACGTGTGTAATACGTGTGTAAGTTAAATAAATAAATAAACAAATAAAATATTTGTTATATGTCGTATGCAATTCATGATCAAAGTCTTGTTTATCAAATTTGTGATCTTAAGTTCAAGTCATACTCTTTTCTCTATTTTTATTTTATATATATATATTTTTTTGTGAATAGAAAATTGGACACTTGACATAAAGAGAAAGAAAGTTTCAAGACATCAAAGTAGTAATCACATATATAATAAATGATTCAAATTATTAAAACAATCCTTGTAAGCCTAACAATATTCTTGGAAACTCTCTAAATCATCAAGTTGATTCGGATAATCAACTTGATATTTGTTTTCATAGAGGATTGAAGATATAAAAATAAAAATTTGATACATATTTTTGCAATGATATATCTCATTTTAGACTTTTAATTTTTAAGACAAGACACTCATAATTTTTATTATTACAAAAATTGACAATGACACTTTATTTTTGTGATTTTTTTTATATAAATTTTATGTAAGAATAAAAAATTTATAGTTTTGATTGCCTCAACGTGGCTTCCAATATGGAGGACTTTTTCTTTTTTTTTATCATAAAAAAAAAGGGCTCTGTGGTGTCATCATGGCCCCTGTGGGTCCTGGCCCCGGGGTAACCGGTTGTCAGCCAGGAATTAACCCTCACCAAGTGAGGGACCCACCACCAAGGCACCAGTGGAGGGCAGACACACGCCGCAGCAGAGCCTAGGAACGAGAGGAGTAAAGGGCGAGCTCTCCGTAGAGATAACAAACAACTCCCTCCCAGGAATCAAACCTGAGTCTCGGCTGGGGAACATGCTGCGTCCTTCCACCAGGCCACCAACCCTGGTGGTCCAATATGGAGGACTTGAAGCAATCACCAAAATACTTGCTCGATGGTTGGTGGCCGGCTGCTTTTTAACTTTGCTTCCTTTTTTTTTTTAATTATTTTTTTTAAGTGATTAGGTAATTTAGCATTTGACTAGAGAGAGCTAAGATTATGACGAAATTGCAAACCCAAACTTCATGGGCTTTACGCTACTTGGTGTAAGTAAATGTTTGAGATCTAATACCACATCTCTTGGGGGCATTCACCTTTATTATTACATAGCCATTCCTTCAAAATAAATAGATGATTGGAATGGTTTATTTTATTTTATTTTTTTCAAAAAAGAAAAAGAAAAGGAGAGAACAGTGAAAGGGAAGGGTCAATTAAAATGGTTTAAACGCATTTAGACTTTACGGAGTTTCCAAAAAGCCATGTGCGAACAAAAGTAAACACTATGTAGGGTGCTTTAAACTTATTCCACATGTCCAGACTTGGTAGACCCTTCCTTACCCCCTCTCATTTCTTGATGGGCTTTGTGTGTGAAAAAAAAATAAGTGAAAAAAATGACGAACCAAATTGTTAGAGAAATAAAGTCAATTTTAATGTACAAAAAGTGTAGTGATAAACCACCTCAGCCATCACAGCTTGCCAAGTCATCTGAGCAACTTGAGTCTTTATGTGTGTAACAGCGCCCGCGGGGGGACCTCGTGCTACAGTTCGGACTCGATTTGTGTCACGGTTCTTAATCTGAACCAAAGAGTCCAAATCTGGCAAATCGTTTTGAGAAAACAGATTTTATTGAAAAAGTAGTGCCAAACATGGACTGTTGAGGACGGTCAAAAATGGGGTGTCTACAATGTGCCAAGTCTAAACATGAGTTGTTGCAATCTCAACCACAGTTACAACTGCAGCCCATATACGTGCAGATTAGTTAGTTAGTTGTAGATAGTTTGTTAACACTTAACTATACTTAAGTTCAATAGTTAGTTTGTTAGTTATGGTTAGATTAGCTGATTTAATTCTTGTATAAATAGATACTGAACTCTGTAATAATTCATTCAATTCAATTGAGTCTTAATCTTCTTTATTGTATCAGAGCCTTTGCTCTTCTGAGCTTCGATCTTTGCAGCAAGCAATTTCAATGGCTACTACTGATTCAACCACCATAGCTGCAACATGTTCTTCTTCACAATCCTCTGTTCTACGTCCAAATCTCACATTGCTGATTTCAAACCTTAATGCTGTGTTTGGTTAGGGGATTTGGGGAGGGATTTGGAAAGGGAAATGGAAAAGGTAGGTGAAATGTGAATAAAACATTCCTATATTTCACCTAGTTTCACACACCTTTTCCCTTTCCCTTTCCAAATCCCTCCCCAAATCCTCCAACCAAACACAACATAATGCTTTTGTTTCCACAAAACTTAATTCAAGCAATTATATAGTATAGAAGAGTCAGATGCAAAACATATTAAAGCCAACAAAGCTTATTGGATATGTTGATGGATCTGAAATTTGTCCTCCACCGGTTGTGTTAGATTGAAGCACTCATGAAATTCTGAATCTAAGTCATACTCAGTGGCTCACAATTGATGCATATATCCTAAGTTGTTTAACAGCAACTCTGTCTCCATCTGTCTTTACAACTGTGATGCATTATCAAACTAGTAACGAGGTTTGTCCTCTATTGACCCTTATTCACACTAATGTATGGAGTCCTTTCTCCCCTTCAGTTTCAGGTTTTAAATACAATGTCTTGTTTATAGATGATTATAGCAAATTTACCTGGCTTTTCCCTTTTCATTACAAGAGTGAGGTTTTTACTAAATTTCTTGAGTTTAAAGCTTTTGTGGAAACTCAATTTAGTACCAAACTTCAGATTTTACGAAGTGACAATGGAGGTGAATATCTTAGTAAAGAATTCCAAGTGTTTCTCCACCAAAAAAGCATTGAACATCAGTTGAGATGTCCTCATACACCTGCTCAAAATAAAGACGCAGAAAGGAAACATAAGCATCTCATTGAGACTACCATCACTCTTATGCATCACTCATCTTTTCCTTTGTCTTATTGGGTGGATACTCTTACCACTGTTGTGTTTCTTGTTAATAGACATCCTACTCTCAAGCTTAATCAGCTTACTCCTTATGAAGTTCTATTCAAACATAAACCTGATTATTCTTTCTTAAGGACTTTTGGTTGTAGATGTTATCCATGGTTAAGGCCCTACACCTTTCATAAGCTTCAGCCAAAGTCTGTTCCTTGTGTTTTTATAGGCTATCAACCTTTTACTAAAGGATACAGATGTCTTGATCCTCAAACAGGAAAATTCTATACTTCTAGACATGTGATCTTTGATGAGCAGTTGTTTCCTTTTCAGACTACATCTTTTTCGTCATCCTCCTCATTTGTTTCTCATTTGCATAATTTTTTTTGGGCTTCTTCTCAGTCTCAGCAATCTTGTTCAGCTCCTTTCTCCTACTCTTCTAGTCATTCTTCATCTTCAGACAGTTCTACTGCTGTTCCTCTAGTCAGTTCTGCAATTCCTGTTTCTTTGCCCAATCCTGCAGTTCCTCCAACTGCTAAAGATTCTCATCCCCTTATTTCCTCTGATCTCTTTTATCAAATTCCCATCACTTCTGTCTTTGTTAATCTTTCACCTCTTGCTTCTTCCAATACTCACCATATGCTTACCAGATCCAAGACTAGCCTTCCATCTTCTTATTTGCTTGTTTTCTGTAGACCTTGTTGAGCCCCAAACTTATCAATAGGCTCTTTTTTCTCCTGCTTGGCAAGCTGCCATGGTTGATGAATATGAGGCACTTCAGAGGCAAGACACTTGGACCTTTGTTCCTTTACCTTCTGATAAGCAAGCAATTGGTTGTAAATGGGTCTTCAAACTTAAGAAAAATTCAGATGGCTCCATAGCTAAGTACAAGGCTCAGTTGGTAGCTAAGGGTTTTCTTCAAACTGAAATGGTGGACTATCATGAAACCTTCAGTCCTATAGCCAAACAACCTACCATTCGTATTCTATTCTGCGTTACTCTTCATTTCAATCGGTCTATCAAGCAAATGGACATTTCTAATGCTTTTCTCCATGGAATTCTTGAATAAGAGGTTTATATGCATCAATCACCAAGCTTTGTTCAGTCCAATCAACCATCCTTTGTCTGCAAACTCAAGAAGGCCCTTTATGGATTGAAGCAAGCTCCAAGAGCTTGGTTCTCTACCTACTCTAATTTGCTCCTCACTCAGGATTTCATTCCTAGCCAATATGACTACTCTTTATTTGTTAAGAAAACCTCCACATCCATTACCATTCTACTCATATATGTAGATGATATTCTCCTCACAAGAAGTGATTCTCTATATATTCAAACTCTTGTTCAAGCAATGCATTCTGCTTTTTCTATGAAAGAGCTTGGCTTCATCAACTACTTTCTTGGCATTTCAGTTGCTCCCACATCCACTGGTTATGTTCTTTCTCAGCATAAATATGCTTCAGAAATTTTAGTTAAAGCTGGCATGAGTTCTTGTAAGCTATACTCTTCTCCTATGGCTACTAAGCATTCTTCTTCTTCTTCCACTGATGATCTACCCTTTTCTCATCCATCTCTTTATCGTAGTTTGGTTGGTGCACTTCAATATATGACTATTACTAGGCCTGATCTGGCCTTTGCAGTAAACCATGCTTGTCAGTTCATGCAATCTCCTTCCAATACTCATTTTGTTATTGTCAAGAGATTACTACGATATCTTAAGGGTACTTTGGATTATGGTCTTCATTTTTCCAATGGTCCTCTTATCCTTAATGCTTTCTCTGATTTTGATTGGGCTGGCAATCCAATTGATAGACGATACACCACTGGCTACTATGTTCATCTTGGCCTTAACTTGATTGCGTGGACTGCTAAGAAACAGCCAACAGTGTCCAAGTCTTCCTCTAAAGCAGAATACAGGGCTTTGGCTTAGACTTCCTTCGAGCTTAGCTGGCATGGTATGCTCTTAGCAGAGCTTTATATCACTGTTCCTACACCTACTCTTTGGTGTGATAATCTCTCTGCTATTGCCATGACTAAAAATCCTGTTTTCCATGCTCGTACCAAGCACATCGAGGTTGACTATCACTTTGTTAAGGAAAGGGTCACAGCCAAGAAGCTCAACATTAGCTATATCTCCACCACTGACCAAATTGCTGATATTTTCACAAAGCCCTTATCTATTTCTCGATTTCAATATCTTCAGTCCAAACTCACTGTTCTTCCTAGCCCTGTTAGTTTGCGGGGGACTAATAAACCACCTCAGCCATCACATCTTGCTAAGTCATCTGAGCAACCTGAGTCTTCATTTGCCAAGACTAAGCATGAGCTACTGCAATCTCAGCCACAGTTACAATTGCAGCCCATACACATGCAGTCAGTTAGTTGTAGATAGTTTGTTAGCACTTAACTATAGTTAAGTTCAGTAGTTAGTTTGTTAGTTATGGTTAGGTTAGCTGATCTAATTCTTGTATAAATAGATACTGAACTTTGTAATAATTCATTCAATTCAATTGAGTCTTAATCTTCTTTATATAGCTTAAGTGAGTGAAGAGTACGATAAGACACTTGACTTAATAGTTTATATAGTTATTCATTAAAATAGTGAGAAAGTTAGAAGTTTATAATTTGAATTGATCGATTATGACTCTTTTATTATAATCTTATTTATTAACCGAAAAATAAATTATTGTTTGCACAAAGAAAAAAAGAAGAAGGTGGTGTGGAGTAATTGCCTATTCTTCTTGGAACATGGTATTGACATTGCCTAAAATATAAGAATAATTTTGGAAGATTATAAGACACAATTAATCAGACGTAGACAATTACATAATGATAATGCAACTTTGTCAATGAAGGATGGGTCGAACTGGTCCACGTCTTTGGCGGGTCTGCTGGCCTTCACCTTCTTGAGGCGTACCTACAAAAAGTCCAGTGGGGAGGTACCAAGATTGGAGTGGTTTCTCTTTGTAGACACTCTGACGATCAAGTTAGATTAGAAATGATCGAGAAGTAGTGAGAGAGATCGAGAGATAGAGTATTACTTGCTATTGTTAACATTCTTTTACGAGCTTCCTTGTATCTTTTCCCAATCATTTCTTTGTCCATTCAAGCTATTTTATTGGCCGAAAATCTAAGGTCTACTTGTCGTCGGCCATGGCAGTTTCACCATAACCGGGGGCGAGAGGTCTTGTTGCATTTAATGCCATGATATCCTTAGGGGTTGTTTGGGATGATTTAAATAAGTGCACTTTTTGACTTTTTATGAAATATGGGTTGGGTTTGGGTTGGGTTTAAAATGATGTGTTAGAGAGGTGATATGACTTAAATAAGATGATGTGACTTAAATAGAATAGTGACTTTTTGACTTTTTGTCTTTTTTCAAGTATGCCAAACTTGGCCTTAATACTTTATGCCTGGGTTCAATAACTCTGTAGGGCTCGGTTTGTTTTGGGGTGTAGAGGGTGGGATTAGGATGGAGGAGGGAATTAAGATGGAGGTTGAAAGGGGGATTGGGATGGAGAAGGTGGAGGTGGAGGTGGTATTAGAAAAATAGTGAGGGGATTAGAATTTTTTTTATTTTTTTAATTTTTTTACATGTTAGGCATTTTTTTTTAATATTAATGTTTATTTTTTGTATTTTTTATTTGTTTTATTATTTTATATAAAAATAATTTAAAAATTCCTGCACTAACATCTATTATCAAAATAAATACAATTTTACTTAATTCCCTCACTAACAATTCCCTCACTATTACACTGCTGGAAAATCGATTTTTAGCGGCGTTAACGCCGCTATAGGTATTAAAAACGCCGCTAATTATTTTTGTGACGTTTAGTACCAAACGCCGACGACGCGGCCGTCACTATAGCTTTATGGCGTTTGAAAAACGTCGTTATATTATTATAGGCGGCGTTTTTAAAAACGCCGCCAAATGTCCTACTAATTGTATTGTGACGTCACTATGACATTTAGCGACGTTTTGGAAACGCCGTTAAAGATATTTATACATTTTAAAAATCTAACCGTTGGAGTAGAGATATAGTGACGTTCAAAAAACGCCGCCATAGCCTTTATTTTTATTTTTTTTATTTTTAACGTTGTGCTTATAGTGACGTTCAAAAAACGCCGCCATAGCCTTTATTTTTATTTTTTTTATTTTTAACGTTGTGCTAATTTTATATGGTTGAAAAAAAAACCTGTCATAAACAATTATTAAGAACTAATAATTGATGTTTATAAAAATAATAAATAAACTAAGTTTGAAAACAAAATTAAAAATAAAATAATAAGGCTCTTGACATGTTATTATACCGATTAGTAACATGATTACACTCTCATCTATCCATCACATAACACATTTGGTATAAAGTTCAAAAAAAAAATTATAAATTATAAATAAATAATAATAGTAGAAGAAGAAGAAGAAATCTGATGCAAAAAAGGCACAACCATAAAAAATTCTCACCTCGGTTCTCTCTTCAAATATGTCACGATCTGAATTTAAGATGAGCTTCTAGTTCCCTCTACCAAACCTTCAAAAGAAATAAATACAAATGAGTGAGGAGCTTTACATTACCCTAGAAGATATCATTGATTATTTAATTCTCTCAGTTGACATGAAAACAGTAAGAAAAATAACGTCCAATTAGTATACATTAATGTGTTTGTAAGGGGAAAAAGTTGACATGAAAACAGTCCTCGAAGAAGAAGAGGACAGAACTTTCCACCCCAATGGTTAACTCATATCCCTTAGGGTGGTAAAATTGGTGCAGCATTTCAGGGTCAAACACATGCACATATAAAAAAGTGATGCTATACAATGTGGAATTACAAATATTTATTTCTTCTTTTTCTTTTAAAGAAATAAAATACAAAAAGAATACAATCTTTACCTAGGAAAAACATCTGACATAATTAAACTAATAGAACAATAAAAATATTAAGTTTATTTAATATTCACATAAAATTGAAATTCTAGAAAGGCCTTCCCTAGATTAAATGTAAAAAATCACATACTTCTGCACGCCAGTTCTCAAAGTGTCTTCTTCCAGTGTACTCCATCTCTTAATTTTTCTCCTCCTTGCCAATTTCTTAATTTCGTGCTTCTTCAAGGGAGAAACAACCATTCTCTTTGGGGTAGACAAGTGAAGTCCACTCCGAGAATCACCTGACTCCTCAGGTAAGCCCAGACCCAAGCATGCACCATGCTGAATAACCTGCACCGATCAAAGTTTCCAACACCACTATTATAACAGAAATTCATGGTGCACAAAAGTAACCGAACAATAGATTATAGAGAGCAAGCACCTCTCCGTTGGTACTGCATAGGCTATCACGAAGAAATTGTTTGATACCCTCCCCATGGTTTGCATGAATCAAGCCTAGGGCATAGAGAGCACCGCCTTCAGAGTATGGACTGCCACCACCACCAGCCCCACTCTGTGGTAAGTAAGGGGCCATCAGAGATCTATATGCAAATTGTACACTATTTCTCGGCTCCACAAACTGCTTTATTGTCGTGAGAATAAGAAGACCCAGGGTCCGATTTATCGGCTCTTTCTTCAGTTGGTTCATCGGCACTTGAATCAGCATCACACAACTCTTTCATTTCCACATCATCTCCAGTTCCATTGGTTGAACATATAGGTTCAGTCTGAGGTGGAAATGAATCTGCAGCAGCAGGAACAACTTCACAAGCAGGCGAATTACTCTTTCCTTTTTCAAAATCTGTCCCTGTTGTTGATCTATTACTACATTCTGTTTCAGGGCCTGACTTCACTGTTGTTGCCTCTGGACCAGACTTGTGTTCGTCTCCCTGCAGTGTTGACAGCAAATTGGGTCCTGCAATTTCAGTTGGCATTTCCGAGTGTGAATCTGCGTTTTGTAAAACTCAAGAATTCTTAGTCTAAAAGAATTGATTAACAAAAAAACCAGAATCAGCTGGAGAGTAGAACTCAAGGAAATGGTAAACTGGCATAAAAACTAATAATTTTCTTTTCCAATTTCATATTAGATATATAGGATTATAAAATACACGAGGAAACCGCCAAGCAAGCATACGAACAAAGTAAAAAGAAACATAAATAAATAAATAATCAAATTTTGCTTCTATAATGCCCATGCCCCTAATGGAATCGACAAATAGGCGACTCGCCCTAACTTCTCTAAGCTAGCTACGTTATATCTTTGATTAGCACCAAATAAATAAAGATTGGAGTATCCTGGAAAACATCTCAATAAGGTAGCAGTGATTTTACCTCATTATAAAGCTGAGCCATTTCCAAACGATCTGGTTTATCGTCACAAGCAACAGCTGAAACTTCTTCTGGAGCTGCACAAAAAGAAAAGGTCGCACCATAGTAGCTTCCTAAATGAGCCCAAGTTCTTTTGACATCTTATTTTGCTCTGAAGCAACTAAACATATCGAGTATTTCAAAACCACTGGTTGTCTACATTCAAACTAAACACAAACTCGCCAAAACAAACATATTCCACCTTCCAACCTTAAAACACAACCTAACCAAAAACCAGGAACCTCATAAATGCAACAATACCTCCTGTAGACACCTGATTCATGTTCTAGAGTTGGTCATATATTTTTCAGGATTTTGCCACAGAATTTGCCAGCACCTTTGCAATTACAATCACCATATATCAGCCAATACCAAATATGGCAATACATGTGTCTAAGTTTGATATAAGTTGATATTTTGGTAATACTAGAAGAGTGAAGCCCTTAGAGCAACACATGTATGTTTTGTTACAAATCAAAGATGTACTACTAGCATTGCATATAGAAAATTTTACAGCTTGAAGAAATTCATTAATGTTTAGCTTCAATAACTGAGAGTTGTTAACCATTATTTTTTATTCACAAAAGTAAAACTTGAAGAAATGGCAAGTACACTTACGGATCACTTCTACTTCTGGTAAATCATTCATAGTTTGGGCATCAAATTCCATGGAGCATGAACTTGGTATATTTACAACCTTGGCTTCTGTCTCCAGCTCTCCATTAGGAGCCACATTTGTTTTTTCCTCACCCTACAATAACAACAAAATAATAGTAAAGAAACCAAAAAAGTGAAGTGTTAGTTAATTGTGGTTAATTAAGAATGCAATTTACACAGCTTATTTTGCAAACTCTTCCATATGGAACCATACAGAGACTTTGCAGTGGATATAGAAATGAAGTAAACAAAGAAGCCAAACCAGTAATTCATAGGTTTAAAATCAAACATAAAGCAAAAGAGATTAGGATGTTTGTGATTAAATTAATAGAAATAGAACAGGGTTCACACTCTCATTCTTGAACTCTGAAAATTAGCTGAACAGTTGCGATTAAATTGTTACACCTACGGCTACGTCAATGTCACAATTGAGTTAAGAAAAAGAAAAGAGATGAACTTAACTTGAACATGCAAATAACCATTACGTTGATACAGAAGGCATAAATAGGTAATTTCATATGGATACATAAAGCACAATGCAAAAGGTACCTTAATATACTGTGAACGAGTGATAACAGCTTTTGGACGCCGAAAGAATGAAAAGATAAGTCCCAATGGCAGACAAGCAAAGCCCACACCCCCCCCCTTTTCCGGAAGAAGAAAAGAAAATGACAACTGCAGGGGTTGAAGTCCTGAGCAATAGCGCAGCCACTCGACTGCCTTGGCACACTTGTGATAAGAATAACACTACAATCGAGTTTTCAAATCCCCAACTAAATGCAGCCAACACAGCCACAGAGCTTTCTGATATCTCATGAAGTTCTGATGCTAATATATGCTAGAAGCATAGCAAAATCTCCATGTCATAACTAGAATTAAACTGGCATACATTATAGAATTCAATAACTACAGCGTTCAAACAAAATCATCTAAGAGAGAACCATAAACTAATTAGGTGATTTGCCAATGTTATTAATGTGTATTAACGGTGCCATCAAAATTGCATTTCAATGTTTTTCTTTAAGGTCTTTCAGCCTTCAAGGTCCTTCAGCTTTCAAGGAATTTCCATACAGTTAGAACATAGAACTTTTCTTGATTGTTCATGCTCCAAAGAGAGAATTTGGACTCTATTCACACCTAAACTAAATGCCAAGAACAAACGAATAGTGGAGTGTGAAGTAAGGTATAGGAGAAACGCATATGATAAAACATAGAGAAAGCAAATAGAATCAACACGAAAGAGATGTAGATCATCTTATATTTACCCAACAATAATATCCCCATAAGAAATATAATACTTCATACACATCAAAGCCAGCTCCCTATCCCTATCCCCAAATACATTGCGTTTAAAATTAAAGGCCAGAACAAATAACTAGAAACTAAACATCATCCATATGTTATCCATAAGAAATGTTTTTAAATTCCTTTTGTTTGTTTTTTATGTTTTTGGTGTGATAACACAATTTTCATCAAAAATTTTCTGGAGAGACCCCAAAAAATGACAGTTTCAAGGAAATCAAAATAACATTTTGTTTGTCAAAATCACAATTAACGATATGCATAAAATTCACACTTACCCTAAAACCCCCAACACTAGTTTGGCCAAGTATCCAAGAACAGTCATGGCCCATGCAGTCTCCGCCTGAATGAATCAAGCAGCAAAGTCAGGAGACAAAATCAGATCTCTCTTCTTTTTCTTTTTTCTTTTTTCAAATAGAAATTAGTTTGACAAAAAGAAACATCAAAAATAATATTTTCAGATTTTTAAAAATTACTTCCACACCCAAAAAAAGATAAAACCATATAAAAATGATGAGTGTTTTTTATTTTTTCATTTCTTTCATCAAATTAGTTTTTAGTTTTATTGAAATTTTTTCAAAAAACATATTCTCAAAAACTGCTTTTGAAAAAATGTGTAGGTCAGCACATTAAAAAAATTTCAAACCATCACCTTTTCACCTTGAGGATACATCTCTTCTAAAGCCTTTACATCTTCTTCCAGAAGAAGCAGCTCCTACAAGGTTAAGAATAAGTCAGTACCCGATTCCAATCTATCTAACCATGGATACATAGACAAGTCAACCAACAATGTAAACTTCAAATTTCATAAAAAATGATGTAATTTCTACAAACCCTAAACGGCCCCTAAGCATATAATAGCAATTGGAAAAATAGCAGGAAACCTTGTAATTGTAGTTATCAATTGTTATGTCTTAAATGAAAACAATCTTGTAGTTGGATCATGATTCATGACATTAATTTCTGATGCAAACATTTTAACAGAAGAAAAGAAGCTTATACAGATCTCAGAAATGATATTCAAATCCAACATATTGTATCTTAGACCCTACATCATCTGTAAAACCAACTTTGGGCTGAAGTACACCAAATTATAAGATGTAGCAATTTTCTTGATATGTCTTAGGGTGGACTTAAACCATGCACCTTCCCTTTTAGCCATGGCAAGGCACCCTTCAGCTAACAATACTGATAAAGGTTAATACCTTTTCTACTGCCTTTACATTTTTACGCCACTTCCTTCCCTTTGAGCCACTCTCTTCCTCCTGACGAAGCGCATCAGCTGCTTTCTTCAATTCTCTTGCCTTCTTACCTAGTTCAGTTGCTTCCTCAAATTATCGAGTCAATTGCCTATAATCAACTTGAACATGCAAATAACCATTACGTTGATACAAAAGGCATAAATAGGTAATTTCATATGGATACATAAAGCACAATGCAAAAGGTACCTTAATATACTGTGAACGAGTGATAACAGCTTTTGGACGCCGAAAGAATGAAAAGATAAGTCCCAATGGCAGACAAGCAAAGCCCGCACCGCCAAATATCTGGGTAGGACAACAAGAACTCAATAGTAAAATAAAATATTCTTGGAAAACAGACATATTGTTAGTTCAATAGTATCCAGATCTAACAGGTCACTTTGAACCAGGGTAATTTAGGGTTTAAAACAGGGTAATAAAAAAACAGAGAGTGAAAAATAAAAAACACTGGTTGAAAAATCAGTTCTGGTGATCTGGGGAAAAATAAATGAGATGTGTAAAACACTGATTGATCAATCCAAACTGATCAATAAAAAACAGAGATTAAAATTCTTCAAAACATTGATTGAAAACCCTAGGAGAAGAATCGACAGGAAGGAAGAACTTGAGAGTGAGAGAGAAAGATATATAGAGCTTGAGATTTTCTGAAGCGATGGTGCTCACCTTGGTAGATGATGGTACTCACTCTCCTCACCGGACGAATCTGAGATTAAATCACCGAGCTTTGAAATCGAGAGAGAACTTCGAAATCGCTGAATGAATCTGAGATTGAATCACCGAGCTGAAGAAGGTTGAACTTCGAAATCACCTTCAATCGATCAACAGATCTTTAATCAATCTGATCTAAGAATGATAAAGTAGACAAAACCTAGCATACTTGAATCAAATGATTCCATCAGTAAGTATCATCTTCAATCGAACTTGAATGTGAGAAGATAGAGATGACACTGATCAACACTTACCACGAAGAAAGACCTGCGATCTCGAACACGAACTCGAGATGGCACATTATGATCTGCGAATTGACGATCTACGAATACTTGAATCGAATAAACGAAGGGGTGAATCGAATACTTGAAGAGAAGGGTTGCAGATTAATCGATTAATAAATGAAGGGGTTTGAATCGAGATAAACGAAAGGGTTTGAAGCAAGAGAGAGTGAAATCAAGGGTACAATGAGAGCGAGAGAGAGAGAGAGAGAGAGAGAGAGAGAGAGAGAACAGGCTATTTACGTTAAAAAAAAAAAAGCAAAAAACATTTGAAGGCGTTTTCGGAAGTTAAAACGGTGTCGTATTAAGTCAATAAGAATGCGACGTTTAAAAAACGCCGTAAAATATTAGAAACAGAGGCATTTTTTTAAACGCCGCCAAATCAACGCCATTAATTCTTATTTTTCCTGTAGTGTTAATCCTTACATTCTACCTCTGAAAACAAACAGAATATAATATCTTTATCTATCACGTGACTAACTCCCTACATGCCAAGTATCTAAGTGTCACAGGATCTGAACCAATGTGGATTCTTCGGTGAGCCAGCTGTTGAGTTTCACCACATAAACTGTAACTAAGTCCTTGTTTGGGAACATATTTTTTAATAATTTTTTAATTTTAATTTTTTAATTTTTTAACTAAAAAAAACACTGGTTAAATGAGGCCTAAATACCTATTTAAACTGCCCTAGACAATTGTAAGTTGACTGTCCTAAGCCATGTGGGTCGTGTCCATCACACAATATTTCAGACTTATTTTTGGTGCGGGAATAAAGGTAGTCAGAGTCTTTGAGCTAGTAGTTTCCGGGAAGAAAGTGTTTTTTGCAATGCTCACCAAAAGCACCCGCCAATATGATTTGACAAGTGGTTTATTTAACTGTTTAAAAATTATTATTGAAGTTAGTATTTATTTATAAAAAATTTAAGATAAAATTATTATTGAAAAAATTCATGTGTTTGATAACTGTTTAAAAAAATATATTTTTGTTTGTTTTGAAAGTTGACGTGGTTTTGGAATATTTTATTTGTTTATTTATTTATTTATTTAGTTATTATTTTTTTTAATAACTTTTAGATTCTTTTAGATAAGAAGGATTTAAAAAAGTAATACTTTTTAAAAAAATTCATTTTTAGATTCTTTTAGATAAGAAGGATTTAAAAAAGTAATACTTTTTAAAAAAATTCATTAAAGACAACAAAAAAAAATTGAAAAATTACCACACATTGTGAGTTAAGGAAAATAAAGTGAATTTTATTTATTTATTTCTAAACAATTGAAACCAAGCTGTCATTTTATATTTATTTATTTTTGTTAAAATAAGTAAACTCTGGTTTTTTTAAGCAAAAACCGAACAATGCCCAGGGAACAGTCCTCTACCATATATTATTGTTGGTTACTCACTCCATTGACAAATTGTGTCATTGTTCGAAGAATCTGGATCTGCTAGAGTCAAAGCCGGAGGGCCTAAACCTAGTAACATCATTTCGCCTTAATAGAAAGCTAGGATTTCAAATTTCTCTACTTCTTTATTTTTGTTATAAGTGATTTATTGCATTAATTTTTTTATTTTATTATAATTCATTTGATTTCACTATTATCTGATGTTACTATGTAATGAATAAAAAGATGGTTTGAACGTTTTTATTAATAATGTGAAAATAACAAATAATTTTTTATGTCCGTAAGAGAAATTTTTAGACAATCAGTGCATAACGTGTATTGTTGTTGTTTTTTTTAACAATATTTTTCTTTATTAGAATTTTATAGATATTCAATCCAAAATTAAGTAATAAATAATGGAAAAAGGACTCTAAACTATAGTAATGGGTGGGTGGCCTTGTGGTAAGGACATGGAGATTAAGTCTCCAGGTCATGAGTTCAAATCTTCCTTGGGCTAATTTCTTAGGTGTAGCACAGTTGGTTAGGAGGTGGTTGGATCTCAAGTTGTCTAACCAGCACTTGGTATGGGTTCAATGCTTCCCCGCAGTAGTCTTGACTTAAGCGGAACTTGTCTTGGGGAGTCAGGGCAAAGTGTATGGGTTCAATGCGATGCTTCCCCGCAGTAGTCTTGACTTAAGCGGAACTTGTCTTGGGAAGTCAGGGCAAAGTGTATGGGTTCAATGCTTCCTCGCAGTAGTCTTGACTTAAGCGGAACTTGTCTTGAGAAGTATGGGTTCAATGCTTATGGGTTCAATGCTTCCTCGCAGTAGTCTTGACTTAAGCGGAACTTGTCTTGAGAAGTATGGGTTCAATGCTTCCCCGCAGTAGTCTTGAGTATGGGTTCAATGCTTCCCCGCAGTAATCTTGACTTAAGCGGAACTTGTCTTGGGAAGTCAGGGCAAATTCCCAAGTTATAGTCTCGTCGCTCAGAACAGCTAACAGGACACCTTAATGATCTCCACAAAGAGGCGCTGCCTCGGACCTTAAAAAAAAAAAAAGTTAAGCAACACAAGACAAATCACACTTCGCATATGCAGTACAATCATTCACAAGAGAGATAGACCCTAGAAGAAACCTTAATCCATGAGAGACACCCAAGATCCAGTATCATGTTATAATTTTGAAGTAATTCAATATAAAACTAATTGGCAAAAAGTAAAAGAAATTATATTAAGTCTTCGTTTGGGATATGGATTAACTTTTTAATTTTTTAACTATTTTAATTTGGAGTTAAAAAGTCTTATTGGGATAAATTTTTTGACTTTTTAAACTTTTGCAAGAGAAAAAAAATAAAATGATTATAATTTGAATATGACATTTTATTTTATTAATTTTTTAACATATTTATTTTTTTTGACTATTTTAGTACAAACACTTTACGCCAAACAAAGCCTAATTTTAGATTACTTATAAAAGCAATATGAGACAGTCCCTGGCATTCGTAGTGAAAATGCAATAGTAGCAAATTACTACCTTTGCTTTGGTAATTAATTTAAGATGAGAGCAGCTTGCCTTCTGTCTTTAATCAGAATAGACAGTGTTGTTCGGTTGTGAAGATTTATTATGGGTCTCGTTTTGATAATTTGAACCGTTTAATATGTAGAACTCATTAAGTATTATATGCTTGTAAAAATCACATTGATCGGATATTTATAGCTATCTCATTCTATCAATTTTTTGTCAATCGTTAATTTGTTTACTGTATATTTTTTAATACAAAATTGATATGATCACATAGTTATCGATATCCGATCAACTTGATTTTTTACAGGTAGATACTACTCGACAAGTCCTACATATTAAATGGTTCGAATTATTAAAATGAAACCTATAATGAATCTTTATAGACCGAATAACACCGTTCAATCTGTTTAAAGACGAGAGGCAAGCTATGCTCCCATTTAAGATCTCCGGTTAGGTTTTTGGTTTTAATCATGCTGTCCCAACTATGCCATCATATCAACTCTTTCAAATCCAATAATTAACATGTAGCTAGCACTGTAATATTCTGTTGGATTTTTTTAGCGTGTGCACAAAACAAAGGTTGAAAGCTGTAAAGCATATTGACACTGATAATTCAAATAGGAGAGAAGAGAAGAGAAGAGAAGAGAAGCAAACAGCATTTTGTTTGCAGGCATTTTGCAATTGTCATGGGTCGGTGTAGGGTCTCTCTCTCTACCTCCTCCTCCGCCACTCTTATAGCTAGTGACAACAAGTTCGTACCCATTATTAGCTTCCGTCAGGCCCCCATCACAACTTCGTATCTATAGTTTTCTTTTGATAACTTAGGAGTTGCTTGGAGGATCTAAATAAATATATTTTTTGTCTTTTTATAAAAAGATGTACAAAAAAATAGAGGGGCGATATAATAAAAAAAAGATAAATTATTTAAAATATGTCAAACTTGACCTTAGTCTCTGGCTCAACAACATGAGTAATTTGAAAATAAATCTCACCGTCTATTAACCGAAGAATTTCGTACTTCTTATTAAAAATATTGAAGTGTCCCTTTTTGTTTTCAAGGGTAGATTGAAGGATATTAATAGTAAGGAGATTAATGAGTTATTTAGAATGACTTAAATAAGTGTATTTTTTGTCTTTTTATGAAAAGATGTTCAGAAAAGTAGAGAGGTGATGTGATGAAAAAAAATAAAAAGATGGATTATTTTTGAGTTGCCAAACTTAGCCAGTAAAATTATATTTGTTTTGATGATAGTTGTTAATGTGGAGACTGTTAAATTATTTTTATGTAAAATAAATATAAAATATGATTTTTACTTAACAAAAAATATAAAAATATTAAACATTAATATTCAAAATGTGTTGCCCAACATGTTTTAAAAAAAATATATACTTGGCCAGTTGATCGGTCAACCAATCGGATGTTAGTCGGACGTCCCTTCAGACGATTAGTAACATCTTAAGTTGAACAGATTATTTTCTAGTGCCTAGGGATGGCAATGAGGGTTAATGGAGTAGATATTAATTCCACATCCACATTCTCCTATAATAAATGAGAGGGAGATTAATGATATGGACTTTGTGCCAGACAGATTTGGGCCGGACAGAGTTGTGCCGGACAAATTTGGGCCGAACAGGTGTTGGGCCAAGTTGTGTGGCCCGGCCTCGAAGGAAGCTGCTTGGTTAAGGCAGCGCGTGGATTGACCGAGCTGCAAGGATCCGTGGTCACGAAGCCGACCAGGTGAAAAGTCCAGCGCCAGGAAAGGCAAGGTTGGACCGAGGTACCTGTTTGCTCGGCAGGTAGGACGATCGCAGACTAGCGTGAGTTGTCCCGAGCTCGGCTTTTCCGAGATACCACCGAGTCCGGTCCTCATCT